AATAAATAGATAAAGATAAATCGTTTTAAGTTATTTTACTTTTTAAATTGTGGAGGCATATAGATGATATTCTTATAATAACCACAATAAACGAAGAACAAGTTCAATCATATGTTCAACATCTAAATACAATTTATAGGAAAATTAAATTCATTTATGAATATGAAAGAAATAATGCAACTCATTTTCTTCATACGACATTGTCGAAAAACAATCATAACATGATTAATGTTGAATACTATAGAAAACACACCGCTTTCGATAGGTTATTGAACTGCTATTCTGATCATGAATAATCTATTAAAATCAATATTATTAAAAACATGGCATCCTTAATAATTGAGACATAAATAATCATAATAGCCAGCAAGATAATATAAACTTTTATAAAGTCGAATTGCCGAACACATACCATGGATAAATATATTCAGAAAATCCTCAAATCCAATAAAACTACAACAAATCAGAATGATGAAAGAAGCGAAATGAAATACCGAACTACAATTAACATTTGTTCATCGAATAGGAGTAATGAAACGAAAATTAAAACAATTAAGACTAAAATTTTTTTTCTCCTACCCTAATAAGCTCATATAGCAGGTACAAACTTAAATGACCAAAAATCCAGATCGAATATTCATTAAGTAACATGTAAGGACCATAGAAATGAAAGGGAAAAAGAATTTATCTGTCATGAGAATGTAAGATGATGATAGTAGGACAGAGGAGGAAGATCACTAGCCCATCTCTTCTACCAGTTTCAATGTCTTACCGTCTCACTATCATATGGCTAATGTTAAAAAGAGATGAAAATGAAATTAGAATAGCAAAATAAATACATTCGTTTACAGCGTCTAAAGACAATAAATTCAATTGTGAAAACTTCATGTCATTATTTTGTTCAAAGAACCATTTCATAAAAATTATAATTAGTTAACTGAATTGTTTTTATTTCATTTTAATCTTTTAATCAGGATATAGAAAAATAAATATTTATAATAAAAACTCAAAATATTCAATCAATTTAAGGGAAAATTTTTTACCAAGAAAAACAAGCTGTGTTTTGATCGTATGCATGTAGTTGTTCTGTGCACGTTGTGATGTATTGCTTTTTCGTATGTATATCGTATCAGTGCGAAGGACGAATGAGAAAACAAGCAAAAGAAAGGTAAAAATCGCAACAGAAAAAAAGGTATAGTGTGAGATTACTATTATTGCTATTTTGCGCATACTTTGATGCCCATTGGTTTGTTTGTGTAGGGGTCCTTTTTTGATGTACGAACGATGAATGCGAGAGCAAGCAAGCAATGATGAAAGGACGGGGGCGCATAAGACCGTAATTTGGCCCATTGGACTTTTCATACTATATCCAGCCCAATCATATATAGGATGAAAGAGCTTCAACTGGCGAGTACTTTCCAATACATTTGACGACTTCCTACCCTATGATTACGAATGATCTTATTACGAATATATAGTAATTACATGACAACCTTTCAGATTAGTTTTCTCCATATAAATTCAAGAAAGTCAGTTTCAATTATACACCATCGGATAGCTCTTTTCACGGGCTACAAAACACTATAGTTTTTAAAANTTAAAAACAATTAGTTTAGAAACGTTTGAAAAGCATCTATGCTTTCTTCTTCAGTGCATTTTAGCAATACGTTATATAAAAGAACAACGACAATTTTATTTTTATTTTTCTTCCTTATCACTCTTTATTATTGATACGGAAGAAAAAACAAGACAATAATACTGGACGAGACGATTTAAAGTTTGTCTTCTTTCGTATCAGTAATAAAGAATGATAAAAGAAGAAAAAGAAAAATACAATTCTCCTTTTGTTCTTGTATATAATTTATTGCAAAAATGTACTGAAAAGGAAAGCAGATGCTTCCAAAACGTTTCTAAACTAATTGTTTTTAAATAATCATTTTAAAAAAAGATATAAATTATTGTGGAAGGGTAACTCAAATTGAAATAATAATGGTAATCTCCTTCCAATGCAACATAAAATATTTATATTAAATACCAATTATTGTAATTATAGAAATTTTATAAAACTTCTATAATTACAATAATTCAAAATCCAATTCAAACAGATGTATAGGGTCGTATAGATGAATGTCACATAATACAGGCTCTACAACTAGACCAACACCCACAACAGATACTTTCTTGATAAATAATCATGTTTACCGATGCACTCTGTGACATCACATTGCTCACCAATTAAGCTTACTCATTAAAAAATGTTGTTCTCAAAACGTGTATTTAGCTATGGGACGAATTTTGATTTTTCTTCTTTTGGTAAATCAATGTTTTTCTTTCAGCTTCCTAATCCACGTTCCAGTACATAAAAATATTGGCTCATTTTCTTTTAAAAAGATTTGTAAGATTTACGTTAGTAGGTGATGGGAAACCACATTCAATCATCAAAACGTGTTGTTAACGAAAAAAACAAGGTTTTAACCAGTTTCTATCCATTGATTCTGATTCCTATATATAAATGCATTAAAACGCATCAAATCATAACCTTTTTCACAACAAATGCATTAAAACCTGTCTATATACAAAGGAACTAGTTTTAACGAGTTGTGCTTTCTGATACATGGTGTAAACCAGTTATACAGCATTTTTTTCTGCATGAACGCGTTGATACACCATTTTAAGCGTTTACTTGTCTGCATGGGTAGATAGAGAGAAACCATGAGTAGAGCAGCAGGTACCACGACTTAACTTTTTGGAACTTATTTAGATTTTTCAATAAATCCGTATGTGTTGTGGTACAAATTCCACGCTCTTGAGGGTACAGATGAGAGTGAAAGTGAGTGTAAGGATGGTGATGGTGATGATGGGGAAGTTTTGGTGTTGATGTGGGTGTGAGTGTTTGAAAATAGCATGAAAACGAATTAGTCCTGTTGAAAGAAAGAAATCTCGAAAAAATAAGTCCCGGCAACTCCTCGTAGAGAGACATGATCAAGTCGCTTTTTAGAATTCTGGTGACCAGATATAAAGATATCAAACAGAGAGATACCAGTAGAGAGATAAGATTGAGTCGCTTTTTAGGATTCTGGTGACCCGAATGTGTTTTCTGGTACTCTGGTTTTCGTGGCACCACCTGGCTTTGATGGCAACAAATTTTTCAGCAAGGTAGAACATGATGTTCAATCATGATGGATACGATATACCTTACATTCAAGAAAAGTCCCTATTTGGCCTCCAGTAGGGATAATATTCTTTTTATTATCCACAAATGGGGATATGATTTAGGGATGAATCTGGGGATGATGGTTTGTGGTAAATGATAGACATTCGCTCACTGGTGTTTGCCTAAAGTTGTATTTGGCCAATTCCATAACTGTAGTAATTGGAACTTGAATTCAATTATTGAAGTCAGTTTCAAGTATTCAATTACTAAATATTTGGAGGCGACAAAACCCCTAGAGGGAAGGAGTTTCAGATCAAAACCCTGGGAGGGCGTTATTAAGGGAGTAAAACCCTGGTCGGTGTTTAAAGGGACAATGCCCTAGGAGTCCTGAAGGAGGCAAAATCCTGGGTACTCTTAAACGGATAAACTCTCGGGAAGGATCCACTTAATCAGAATTCTGAAGGGGGTGAGGGCAAAATCCTTGGAGCACCGTTAAGAAGGCAGCAGTCTGGGAGACCCTTAACACATTCGCGGCGACATGAGTATTGTTTGTTTATAATTCGTGGAAAGTTTCATTTCTTTAATCATGACATCTGTAATACTTCAAAACAGCTTTTACCAACGTTTCTCTTAAGAGTATGAGCTATAGACATTCCTCTATCAGTGGTAAAAGAATCAGCTCCTTTGATCAAAAGATGGCAGAGATAGTCTGTTTTTCTGCGCTAAAGGAACTTTCGGGTCACCCTATAGAGTGACCTACCGGTGGGTCTCATCGCCTCGAATGTGTTAAGGGAGAATGAATGTGAGAGCAAAACTACTGTGCCCGCGTAAACAACCTTTTACATTGACGTCACGGCGTGGGGACCCATAGCATCCCTGAAAAGCCGCGACCGATGTTTGTCTCAGGGTACACAGTAAAATCTATGATTGGTTTATGCCATGAAATATTTTGAATAGTTGAAATTTGAAATATTCACTAATTGAATACTTGAAAATGACTTCAATAATTGAATTCAAGTAGGGGTGGCACTTTATCTTTATTTTATTTTGAAAAAGTAAAGTAAAGCAACGTTAGAAAACAATATTTTCCATGTTTAGAAAACAAACCCGACATTTTTTAACTTTTCTTTATTTGGTAAAGTAAAGTTGAGTTACTTCACTTACCCGGTAAAGTAAAGATAAAATGCCACCTCTAAACTTAAGTTTCAAGTATTACACTACTGATCAGTTCTGCATTCCTTGTATGAGATCGTTGATCTGAGCAGTTGCTTCTACTTTAACTCTATTAAATACGCCTTTTCTTTCTGACAGGTATCATGGCGAATAAATCCTCGCATCAACTCATCATCATCAAAGAACTTTAATGAACAGCTTTTTGCTTTTGCTTTTTTGCCGCATGTAGTTAGAATAACTTATTTGGTGTTTTTGTAATTACAGCTTCTTCTTTTTCTGAATAAATTTTAGATCATCATCAAAGAGCATCTCATCTTTATATGGTGCATGTATAAGAACAATAATATAAGATAAAGCTGCAGAGCACAGCAGTGTTTGAAGTCATTGTTTTCAATTAAAGAAAATGTGGGTGTGGGTATGGGTAAGGAGAAGATTAGTATAAACACACACCCACACTCATACCACACCCACACCCACACCCCACACCCACACCCACACCCCACACCCACACCCACACCCACACCCGACTTTATTAGAAAGTTACGAACATAAATAAAAATTAAATGAATTTTATGGTAACCCTGATCAACAATGGGAATTAATTTATAAAGCAACACGTGATGGATTTTCAACAGAGGCATTTCATAAAAAATGTGACAAAAAAGGACCTACTATGACTATTATCAAATCGGCTAAAAAATTTATTTTTGGAGGTTGTACATCAGTTTCATGGAGTTTGGATTGTGGCCCTAAAAAAGATACGCAGGTATTCTTATTTACCTTGACTAATCCTCATAATATTCCACCTACAAAGTATCCAATTAATCCTGCTAAAACACTCAATGCAGTTTATCATTTTTATGCTCATGGACCTAATTTTGGTGATAATGCTGATATATATGTGACTACTAACAGCAATAAAACTGATCAGTTTCCCAGAAGTTTTACAAAATTTCCGATCTCATATATGGATACAACTGGACAAGGTGATAAAACATTTACTGGAGAACGTGATTTTACTACATGCGACATCGAAGTATTCAAACTCGCTAATTAATAACAACAATATTTCTTTTATACACATACTGATCATTTTATTCGTTATAAGAAAATTAATTCATTTTCTTTTCTTAATATGAGGGTGTGGGTGTAGGTATGGTTAAAGACAATACACAGTTCAACAGCCACATCCACCCACACCCACACCCTTGATGAAAAGAAAACTGACTTTAAAATCATAGTACTTCGTATTCATAGGACTGTATTTTTCGCTCAGTTCTGTATCATTGCATATTCTATTTAGTAGAAGAGTTTTCATTTGAAAAAAATGAATATATGTATTTCATGATCATCAAACTATGTAACTCAGATACTAAATTCAACAATAAGTATAAAATTTAAAAAAAAAGCCATTTTAATCATCAAAATAAAAGCAACAGAAACTAACGAAGATTCTACAATATCAAGATAAGTGTGAAAATGATGAAAGTACAACTAAAAAGTTAATAATAATAATGACTCAAAGAAATTGAGGAAAAAAAAAGAAATGTTATCGTGTTCTTCACATTTACTGAATTCATCTCTGTATTTAGAAATAAATAATTAGAGGGATGTTACAAATGATGGATATCAATTGAATCAATGAAATGTCATCAATCACATGAATATAACTTTAAACTCGATTTTTTGTCGCCATCGACTGTGAATTTTTTCAATTTGATCCATTAATTCTTCATCATATAACATGTTACCCATTATCTTCAATATTATTGTCATCAATTGACGGAAACCCGTCGCTAGCCTATTCCATTGATTTAAATCTAATGTGTTCATTACATTGTATGTATTAGTAATTAATCGAACATGTCGAATATTAGTCATAGCTGTGATTAAATTAATTGTCGTTGTCAATATGCATGACTGGTGTTGTTGCAAGCAAGTGTTTATTGAGGGTAACGAAAATTTACCCATATCAAGAAGAAAATATTCAATAGTGAGATTGTTGAAAATAACCATGCTATATTGATCTAGGTAAGAATGAGAGCAAGTTAATGCTGAACAATGAATTTCAAGTCGTTTGATTGAACTTTGCATATATTGAACGATACGACTCAAAAAACCCAAACTAACTTCATTATCATACCAAAGTGAAAGACGAATTAATTTAGGAAGATATTTTTTGTATTCTTTGATTGACTTTATTTCTTGAAAGTTGAGAAGAGTCAATGAAATAACATTAGTAAAACTAACTAATGGATCTAATTCGGACTGTGTCGAATACCAAGTTGTGTCTAGACGTAAGGAAACAATTTGTTCAGGCTTGATTTTTCGAGCAATCGTATTAATAAATGTATTGGAAGGCTCACAAATCTCGACTCTTGTTTTATATTGACGTAGAGCAGGAAGAATATTAGCAGAAAATGCATTGATTACTTCATTTGATATGAGATATTTGACTATTTCAAACATGACATCGCAACAGAGACGAGTCTTGGTCATGAAGTTGAATGACTGAAAAAGAAGTTGACAAAAAATTAAGGAATTTCTTGTGATTTGTTCGATTTCTCAAAATTTCTTTTTGGGAAACAAAATCTAACACTAGTATTCAATCATATAAAGTAGAAATTTGGACTCACTATTACTTCCCTCCCTATAGCATCAAAGAGCTTGACACGTACTTAGATGGTTTAGTCTATCCAAACATCAAGCATAATAAGATAGACATGCGGAGATGTTCCTTAACAAGTGAAACAGATGAATCGTGTTTCACATTTTAATGCCACACGGATTGTACTACTAGTTTTCATGATGTAGATTAAAGCACATCAAATATTTACAACAAATACTCACTAAAGCTTGTTCATTTTCATCACATTCTTCTTTAAAAATGCCCAATTCAGTAAGTACAGTTTCTCGACTAGATTTCGTTTGAGTTCGCGTCAAAGTATCACCTACAAGCAATGTTTTGACGTGATTTTCGAATATTATCGAATCATTCCTTTTCTCTTCGAAAAGTCGTATGATACCAATAAGCATTGGACATCGTTCCTCGTTAAGATTATCCGGAAGTTGGGTAGAGAACATTTCTTCCCAAACATTTCTCAATCTAATTGAAAAAAGAAAATTCTTCCTTATGAAAATATGCAGATGCTGCTTGAAAACATCTGATCTTATTCAGAGAAAGACTTAAAATGAATAGAAAATAAGTTTTCGTTAAAAAAAAATATTTTAGATATTGAAAAATATATTTTATAATATTGACTTTGTCTATCAACTAATGATAGATAGCTTACCTATTTCTATTCCATTTAAAAGTTACATCACATGGCCATATAATATAATTTTTAAGTAGATATTCGATAATAGTTGTCAAACAGAATATGTTACAACAAAATATATTATTGAACATACTCTCATCATTGTGTATAAAGACAAGTATTGGACGACGCTAAATTGAAATAGATTTGTATTTTTATTTATAATCATAAGAACAGATGTAAACGAACTTCTTCAATAATTGTTGAGCTGAAAGCTTCTTGACATGCATCTTGAAGAGAACCCATGAAGAATGCTGGACAATCAGCATAACGTCGTTGGAGACGTTGACATATTGATTCAATAGCAGTGACTTCATTTTCATATTCNTTTTACAAAATTTCCGATCTCATATATGGATACAACTGGACAAGGTGACAAAACATTTACTGGAGAACGTGATTTTACTACATGCGACATCGAAGTATTCAAACTCGCTAATTAATAACAATAATATTTCTTTTATACAAACACTGATCATTTTATTCGTTATATATTCAATTAATTCATTTTCTTTTCTTAATATGAGGGTGTGGGTGTAGGTATGGTTAAAGATAATACACAGTCCAACAGCCACATCCACCCACACCCTTGATAAAAACATGACTGACTTTAAAATCATAGTACTTTGTATTCATACGACTGTATTTTTCGCTCAGTTATGTATCATTGCATATTCTATTTAGTAGAACAGTTTTCATTTGAAAAAAATGAATATATGTATTTCATGATCATCAAACTATGTAACTCAGATCCTAAATTCAACAATAAGTATAAAATTTTAAAACAAAGCAATTTTAGTCATCAAAATAAAAACAACAGAAATTAACGAAGATTCTACGATATTATCAAGATGAGTGTGAAAATGATGAAAGTACAAGTAAAACGTTAATAATACAAATGACTCAAAGAAGTGGAGAAAAAAAAACAAGAAATGTTATCGAGTTCTACACATTTACTGAATTCATCTCTATATTTAAGAATAAATCATTAGAGAGATGTTACAAATGCTCAATATCAATTGAATCAATTAGACGAATATAACTTCAAATTCGATTTCTTGCCACCATCGCTTGTGAATTTTTTCAATTTGATCCATTAATTCTTCATCATATAACATGTTACCCATTATCTTCAATATTATTATCTTCAATTGATGGAAACCCGTCGCTAGCCTGTTCCATTGATTTAAATCTAATGTATTCATTACATTGTATGTATTAGTAATTAATCGTACATGTCGAATATTAGTCATAGCTGTGATTAAATCAATTGTCGTTGTCAATATGCATGACTGGTGTTGTTGCAAGCAACTGTTTATTAAGGGTAACGAAAATTTACTCAAATCAAGAAGAAAATATTCAATGACAGGATTGTTGAAAATAACCATGCTATATTGATCTACGTAAGAATGAGAGCAAGCTAATGCTGAACAATGAATTTCAAGTCGTTTGATTGAACTTTGCATATATTGAATGATACGATTAAAAAAAACCAAACTAACTTCATTATCATACCAAAGTGAAAGACGAATTAATTTAGGAAGATATTTTTCGTATTCTTTAATGGACTTTATTTCTTGAAAGTTGAGAAGAGTCAATGAGATAACATTAGTAAAAATAACTAATGAATCTAATTCGGACTGTGTTGAATACCAAGTTGTGTCTAGACGTAAGGAAATAATTTGTTCAGGCCTAAGCTTTCGAGCAATCGTATTAATAAATGAATTGGAAGGCTCACAAATCTCGACTCTTGTTTTATATTGACGTAGAGAAGGAAGAATATTAGCAGAGAATGCATTGATTGCTTCATTTAATGTGAGATATTTAACTATTTCAGACATGACATCGAAACAGAGATGAGTCTTGGTCATAAAGTTGAATGACTGAAAAAGAATTTAACAAAAAATGAATGAATTTCTTGTGATTTATTCGATTTTTCAGAATTATATTTTTTGAGAAACAAAATCTAACACTAGTATTCATTCATATAAAATAGAAATTTGAACTCACTACTACCTCCCTTCCTAGAGCGTCAAAGAGCTTGGCACGTACTTGGATAGTTTAGTCTATCCAAACATCAAGAATAGTAAGATTGACATGCGGAGATGCTCCTTAACAAGTGAAACAGATGAGTCGTGGCTCATATTTTAATGCCATACGGATTGTACTAATAGTTTTGATGATGCTGATTAAAGCACATCAAATATTTACAACAAATACTCACTAAAGCTTGTTCATTTTCATCACATTCTTCTTTGAAAATGCCCAATTCATTAAGTACAGTTTCTCGACTAGATTTCGTTTGAGTTCGCGTCAAAGTATCACCGACGAGCAATGTTTTCACGTGGTACACGAATATTATTGAATCATTCCTTTTTTCTTCGAAAAGTCGCATGATACCAATAAGCATTGGACATTGTTCCTCGTTAAGATTATCCGGAAGTTGAGTAGAGAACATTTCTTCCCAAACATTTCTCAATCTAATTGGAAAAAGAAAATTATTCCTTATGAAAATATACAGATGTTGCTTGAAAACATCGGATCTTATTCAGAGAAAGACTTAAAATGAATCGAAAATAAGTTTTCGTTAAAAAAAATATTTTAGATATTGAAAAATATATTTTATCATATTGACTTTGTCTATCAACTAATGATAGATAGCTTACCTAGAGTCGATGTCCCTAATAACGACACTAAAAATTTATCTTATCTTGTTTGGCTCGGTGCACGACTATTTTAAACTCGATTGAAAATATTTTTACATACGCATAATCTTTGAAGTGTCCTCTTTCAAATGATGTAACAACCACCTTTCACTGAAATGTAGAAGTCAAGAAATCAGCGGTCTACGATAACGACCTGCTTCTGTCGTTATTAGGGTCTATTTNGTATGTAAAAATATTTTCAATCGAGTTTAAAATAGTCGTGCACCGAGCCAAACAAGATAAGATAAATTTTTAGTGTCGTTATTAGGGACATCGACTCTACTTCTATTCCATTTAAAAGTTACATCACATGGCCATACAATATAATTTTCAAGTAGATATTCGATAATAGTTGTCGAACAGAATGTGTTACAACAAAATATATTATTAAATATACTCTCATCACTGTGTATATAGACAAGTATTGGACGACGCTAAATTGAAATAGATTTGTATTTTTATTTATAATCATAAGAACAGATGTAAACGAACTTCTTCAATAATTGTTGAGCTGAAAGCTTCTTGACATGCATCTTGAAGAGAACCCATGAAGAATGCTGGACAATCAGCATAACGTCGTTGGAGACGTTGACATATTGATTCAATAGCAGTGACTTCATTTTCATATTCTTGAAAAACTTTTACAAAACTTATCAGTCAAAAACTTCATCTCTTTTATTCAATAAACGAAGAATAACTTACAAGAGGTGCGAGGTATGCAATTATAGTCATCGTCAGAACTATCGCTATGATGTCTTTTTGATCTTTTCGCCTAAATAGAAAAATGAATGAATAGAGTTGCTTTTCAACGATCTCTATTTAGAACTTTAAAACTGAAAACAGATTAAAATTTCATGCTTCTCAAAAGCTTTTTGCTTTCAAAAGTTAGCATAAAAATGAAAAATTATTTTATGAAAACTTAAAAAATATTCTTACCATTATAACTGCTGGTTGCCGAATTACGAATAAAAGAGATGCTTAAAATAATCTGAGATGCAAATTTCTATAATCAAATTTTAGAAGATAGAAAATGATACCGTTGATTGAAAATATGAAGACAACTTAATATATGAGTATATTGAAAAAAACCGTGTTTTATCTCCATTAAAAGATGAAAAACAGCATGCTTTTCGTTGGAAATATTTCTGTGCGTAAGTAAAGAGAATAATAGACAGGAGGTTACATCACACATGTTTTTTTTTAATATTCTTTCACTACTCGATTGAAACTCATGAGTCATGACTAACAAAGACGAAAAAGAATTACATAAGTCCAATGTAAGTATTATTTTAATGTTGGAGCACGTTGTAAATGGAGGGCTATTAAAGATCCTGGAAATGTTCACTTTATCTAATATCCGCTAATGAATAAAATAGCTTTACTAATCAAGCAAAAGATTAGTAAATTTATTTTCTGCTCTAATAATTTATCCTAGTTTTGAAACATTCAGCGGATTTTTCCTTTTGACTTAGCTGACTTCAGATAGACTATACTATCGCGTCATGGAGTACTTTTCTATTTTTTATTTATTATCATTATTCTTTGTAAAACGTCTTTTCTAAATACTTAAAAAAGAGAAAAACATCTATGCTCTAATATTGCTTAGATCATAATACATCTATATAAATAAAAGATGATTCAAAAATTTCGACTCCTCTCTGTATATCCATGTTATTTATCTCCTTTAATCGGGTCAGGTGAAAAGAAAAATCTTTTATCTGACTGAAGAGTCCGATAAAACAAAGAAATATCCCTTTGTCCATTATATATTCTCTAGACTGATAGAATATGATCTGAAAAAGGTAATTCGCAGGTGTTTATCTGCCTACAATATAGTTATCAAATGGCGACTATGATACAAATGATTGCATAGGATGACTAAAAGATCATTCATATCTTGAGACTCAGAATAATCGAGAAGGTACACTCCAACATGTAGAATACGAAATCCTTACGCACCAGGGCTCAAAACGGGCCGCTCGACCCAATACTCTTATCATGTTTTTTTTTAATTTTTAGTAGACTATATCCCTGTTTTAAATACTAGACATTTTCAAAAATGTTTTACAAGAGAAAAAGCATGTGAATTTAAGGTCTGATCAATATGATAAATTATATCGATTAATTAAACTTGTCTTATCTCTTATCCACATGCAATATTCTACAATACTTAAACTGCGTTAATTAACGTAAGAAAGTGATTGACAAAAAGATATGTCGAGAATAGAAGCTGCAAATAACACTTTGTCTAATTCTTCAACTTTTATTAAAGAGTGAATCCATGGAAAGCATACCGTTTTCTGCAATAAAAGAAATCCTATGGGCCTTATGCTGCTTTTCCAAGCGAAGATTTTTCCCAATTTTGGCCATGCAGTAGAAGATAGTTTGGATCTAGGAAAGTTGGTCGCACAAACAGTTGCTCACTAGGCCACTTGGTTGCCGTGTATACTTTTACAACAATTTTGAATGAAATAACGAAATACAATGACATAATAAACTAATTTCCTATGTGAGAATGATCATCGTCATAAACTAACTGATTTAATTTTGGTGTGAGTGTACATTAAAAGAATACCCGCATCCACACTCACACCCTTGACTTGCACATAAAAAATCCTTTTGGCAAGTGCAGGATGCGACTTGTTAACTTGTTATATTATAATACACAATTGTAGAAATCTCATTAAAAATAGAGTAGAAGTTTATTCTAGTCGAAACCCTCTATTTTCCACATACATCGTGAAAATGATAAAATAGCAGCATTTCTTCCTTTTTTTTACGCACAAAGCACCATTACAAACCTAACCACTATACTGTCACACAGCTTTGAAGAAACAAAATTGCACATGTGATCCCGGTAGATATCGCATTGGAAAATTTTTATATTCAGTAAAGAGCAGTATTTAAAAGTTTATGGAGTTAATTGATTGTTAAAAGAGTCTCTATCAGAAACAAAACAAGAAAAAAAATTCTAATTTATTTTGATTAAATGAAGTCCTTATCAGGCAAAGATTGTAGATATTGCTGTCGTAATTCACGTGCGAGTAGATAATGAACATCCGTTTCTTCCATAAGACGAGAATACTGATGACAATAATTCAAATATTGGAGCAAGCGTGAATTCACTCGGGATGGTCGTAATGTTATCAATTGTCTTAGACATCGAAAACACGGTGATCCTTTGCAAAAGAAAAATGCTTTATATATCCAGACATAACTATGACACCATGGGCAACGATAAAAGATAATTCCAGTTCGTTGCGAGGAATTCTGCTTCACATTTGGTAGCTGAGTCGTTGGTGCACCACGAATGGTACTCTTGTGTGAATAAAATATATATAAAGCTTCGTAATATGAAGAAAGTGGAGGATTTTCAGTTGGAAACGAGATCAAGTCTATATTTGCAACAGCCTCAAAATGAAATTTTGCTTCGTCGATTTTTTCCATTTCAGAATAAACTACAGCGATACCAGTATGAAACATTCCCATCTCTGGATGAGTATCAGGAAGGATTTTTTGTGCTATAGTGAGACCACGTGTATAATAATCAAGAGCTTTATCTAGTTGTTTCTTTTCATAATACATTCGACCAAGATCTGTATATATTTCGGCTATTAAACGATGTTCCTCCCCTAGACATTTTTCATAGTATAAAAGCGCCTTTTCATAATCTTTTAAAGCATTTTTGTAATCACCCAAAGCTCGATAGGTATTTGCAGATGAATGATGAATATTAGCGGCTAAAAAATGATCGAATGGTGAAATTTTGTGCACGTAGGATAATGCTTGTCCAAAACGTTTGAGAGCATCGTCAAAACGGGAGAGCTGATAGGACTGGTCGGAGGAAGATGCGGGAGGAATTTCCCTCGAATATTGGAAAAATTTTGATTTTGCCCGTCGACGGCGATTGAAATTTTTTTGCTCTGTTCATTTCTACGATGATCATTATTACATAACTGTTCACAATTTGGGGGTTGCTCCCACCAACAGTTAGCGTTTTCCGCCAGACCTGCAACCAACGCAGCTTTACCTAACATATGGTAACATCTCGCATATTCAATGTTCTTTGGTGGAAATAATTTATATTCATTCAACATGTGACGACAAAGCTTTTCTGTTTCGTATGGCATTCCCATACCTAAGAGTAACACTCCAAAACTGTGAAATGTATCATCATCTGTTCCATTTACGTTTTTTTCATCTCCAAACCATGAGAAAAGTTTATTTAATTCAATATCTTCTTGATCGCACGCAGTCATTGATACAATCCATCGTCTATTAACATCCCGTTCAACATTTGTGATACGAAAGACTGAACCCAGCATGAACAGAATTTCATTTTCTTTTGTTCCAAAATGGCTACTCTCAGTAATATCGGCGAATGGTCGCAATCTTCTGTTATTCTCACTTGGAATCGCATCGATAATAATTATAACAAAAGCTACTTCTTCGGTATTGCTTTGAGCTTCTATGTTAGCATACATTTCGACTATTCCTAAATCGATATTAGTCGATAAAAATGACTTCATACAAACAAGTTGACCCACAGATTTTGCAAGTAATTCAGCTTCGACATTCGTTGTCCTCTATAAACACGAACAGAAAAATTATACTGTCGTTTGATAAGTTGCTCATTTAATTCTCTGATAACGAAACGACTGTGAAATAGCATTCCAACGTCATCTGCTCGTAAACTTTCATTCAGTATACGATAAAGAAAAGAATCCTTGGTGTACCATCTCAGAACAGCATCATCTGTGTAGATATCCTCTTGAAACTTACGCAGTTGCTCGACCATTTTTTCAAGCCAAAGTTTATTCCTTTCAAGCTCATACCTTTTCTGGAATACTCTAATGCATTGATCACAAAATTCCTCTCGATCAGATGGTAGCGATTTCATCCGAAGAAGAATATGAACGAGTAATTGAGAAAATACGAAACCGCCATTGATAGTTGTTGCTGAACGATTCGCTCTATCACCATGTACCATGCTTAACGAAAACGAGTCATATGAATTTCGATGCCAACGCTGCTTGAATGCTTCTATATGTTTTACTAAATCATTTTGTTTGACGACAATAACCTTTAAACAGATATATTATTAATTGAAACCTTATCATTAGATGAACTTATTTGACCAAAAAGTGCAAATATTGTCAAGGCATGCAAAACGATATGGGTAAACTTTGCTTGGTGTGAGTGCTGATCTTCCTATTACCATTATCTACACTCACAAGGTAAGGTCGTATCTTGAAGTAGAACTTTTGTCATCACTTAAATGAAAAAAATGTAAGAGACGATCGAAACTCATGTCGAACGAGGAGAAAAAAACTTCACACAATCCTAAAAAAAAGTATATATATTAGTCGAAATTATATAGACAATGGACATATTGACTATCAGTGCTAGGTGTTAATATCAAAGTGACAAACAAGACTCGTATTACATTAGTCGAGAAAAACTGTAAACCACGATGAAGCATACAATACAGTGATAGAAAAATAAATAAAAGTAGATAAACAATAGTTATCAATAGTTATTTGTTCATTCGTGTTTATTTGCTTTCTTTTAAAGTTCTACGTTTTTTTAATGATTTTCAGATTTCTAACGCTTTCAAAACAAGTTGATTTATAGATGTAGTTGAAATATCTGCATTACTTGAAGCTCCTCTCAATTCAGAAAAAAATATAGTTGTCAAAAACGAATCATCAACAGTATTCTCATCTTGATGGAACGCATATGGATTTTCAGCTAAATTAGATGAAAATACTCAGTATCAAAGTATTTTGGGGTACATTAGCTGCTTCAAGTACTTTCAGACATTTATTAAGTTATTGGAAAACACTTATTGATCAGCTTGTACTAGTTTACTTTAGTCATAGCACTCTCACCCTCACGCAGTGTTACGTGTGTGCAAATCATATGTCTCATGTGTTTAAAGTAAACTAGTACTGATCAGTTATTGTTTTTTGTTGCTCTTGATATGATTTCAATATGATACTATGACGACTATTATGAAACATTTACGCTTCTTGTTTTATAATGTAAATTTGCGTGATTAACTTTTCGTGTTTATTTTGTATTTATTCAGTTAAACATCGCTTAAGAATAGAATTATGATGTTTACAACTGTATGGAATAAATTGATAACAAGATGATTGAGATGTTTAATATAAGCTTCATTTGACAGACAATTAAAGATGAAATATTCGTTTTGCTTAATGTCCTATCCTGCCGCTCGATAGGACGGAGGTTGATTGAAGGGCAGGGCAGGACAGGATGAAAAAAGTTGTCCTGTTCTCATCTTTGCTTCTAATACATGAATTTCTTTCTTCAAATTTTTTAAAACTTGATTTGCTAAGAAGTCATTACGGTACTCATGTAGCACAGAAATTGAATCGACCGATTTCTAGACAGCCTGTTAGTGATCGTTCATTTTACCGACTGATTGTCAGAATCGCTTTCATCTCTAGAGTATCCTATGCAATACAATTAACTTTAAACAAAATTTCATTGCATACTTTCTATGAGTTACCGCTTAAATCAAGAAATATTTTGAATAAGTTCATATAGGAAGAGCAAGTAAGCAAATACAACTGATTGATTTACCGATAGACTGTCCGATCTAAAACTAGTATAATTTTCGAAGCGATCGATAATCGGTACAGATTCCATCCTTGAAGTAACATTCTCCTCGTCTTCTGCAAGAGAACCATATACGTGATTCCTCTGTAAGATAGCGTTTACGTATGTAACGGGCAACTTTTAGACGTGCGTAAGTTTGATACCTACCTTTTTATATTTGTCTAAGAACTGTGTTAGTTGTTCACTAAGATTGTTCTCAAAATCGTTCAGATAGACAAAAATACAGACCACGTGGCATAAGTGATGAACTTCAGGAAGCGTTCTATCAACAAGAGCAGCATGTATAATGAGGATGTTTTTTTCCGTACTCGCTAAAATGCTTCGAAGTGCAATTGGACAATCGAGCGTATTGTCAAAAATTAGAGGAAGTTCAACTTCATCTTGCAATTGCTTTTGTGTCTCTATTACGTTGGCTGTCAATGAAGTGCCTTCGGTTGAACCGTCGCTCAAAATCCAAATTAAACGCAGCATTTATGTCTGCACTTTACTTTAATTATTCATATTACTTTAGACACTTTTGTAAGACTTACTTTTGTGACAAGTTGGAATGAAAAGAAATACCAACAACTTTTAGCTTGACTTATCACGGAACTAAACCAAGAATGAAGTGAATCATTGTATGTCATAAATGATGTAAAGAAAGCGGAGAACATTCTTGAGTGAAATAGCAGTATAAAAAAGAAAAAGCATCGTAATTAAGATTTTTTTTCTTTCTTTCCAACTTTCTATTGTGCGCAATATGATTCATATCAATTTCAATCTAGAGACAACACACTTACAATTGCAGTGAGATTATTTCACTGAGTCAATTTCTGTAGGAATATCAATTCTGATCTGACTTTTTCAAGCAATTCTACGATCTTGTGCGCGCTATACTGATTCGATTTGGAATGCAGCCAGCATACATGACGAAATTGTGATTGTGAGTTGTGTATGTGATCAAGTGCATATCTGAAACCGCAAAAATTAAGATAGAAAAAATCCTAACCGTAACATATTTAGGTGAGCTAGAGCATGATCCTCTATTCGATAATGTTTCTCCTGATGATTCTACTGTAGCCAGGATCAAAAGTAGTTGGCTATATCTATTCAGTGAGGTAGCATGTTTCGAAAGATAGATACATGTTTATTGAAATAGAAAATACTTTCATGTGTATTTTTGTTTAATAAAATTGAAAATTAATGCGAGCAACTTTCTGTAAAAGGATTTAGATTTCACTCTGTTCTTGTTTTGTTGTAGCTGGTTGTGCTTCTAAAGGAGGGGATTGAGAATCTTCTTGTTGTTGATTGATTAAGGCAGCAGAATTTAATACGGTAATAGGGTCTTCTCTTGGATGTGGTTGTGTTAGTGTATTGACAATTTTGTCAATGAATAAGTTCCACATCTCGTAGAAACTTTACAATAAAAGAAAAGAGTTAATTGAATATGAAAAAAAAACTTTTTTTTCAAGAACAAAGAGAATTATATCTTGTGCCACATTTTCATTCACCTACATACGAAAATGAATATTTAAAGGATAAATCTTTTTTTTCTATTTTCTCTTACCACAATATTTTCCATTTACTTGATTAATAATAAACGATGACAAAAATATCAATAATATTAGAAAATTCATTCCGATGAATCTTACCGTTTTGCCTGAGAAAAGTAAACCCTGAAAACTTTGTTTTTCTTCTTTATTGACTATTTATAGAGATCTTAGAACAAATAAACAACAGCGTAACTTATAAAATTTTTATCATTATTGTTTTTTACATTTACAAAAGATTATCACTTCCTCTTTATATTACACCAATCTTTATTTCATATCTTATTACATTACTTATTTAGAATCAGTAGANTCGTTTCTTTAAATGAAAGAATCCAAACAATCCTATCAACATTGTTGCAATATGTTGACGAGCAGATGTAGTAGTAAATTCATTAAGGAATGTTCTGTGGGTGTGGGTGTGGGTGAATGTGAATGGAGAGAAGACTAAAACCGATACACGCACTCACACACCCAGTCACACCCATCCACACACCCACACCTCACACCCACACTCATACACCCAGCAACACCCATACCGCACACTCATGCCAACACCCACCCGCCGTACCTTACTTTCGCGAGAAGTTTGTGCGAATATTTTCTATATCCGTACATTACGTTCCCTACTATTTGTTCTTTACAATTCGCCCCAATTACATTTCATCGCATAAGTTCACTAATAATTGAAAGGTTTCTTTTGTAACTTGATAAGATTAGACATGTGCGGGTCATACTAAAGCTCTCATTGCCAAACTAATGAATTTAAAATATAGGTTGCCATTGATATGTTCCGAACAAGATATTTGAATTTTTAGTTATTTACAATGCATGTAACGTAGTTACAAATCAAAATTTGGAACTTCTTTTGTCGTGATAGTTGGATAAAACTTGTCAAGTTGTATAAGAAAACGGGTGTGGGTGTGTATGGGTCTGGATGTTCATAAGTGTGGTGCCGGTGTGGAAGATGATCACCCACACTCACTCCCACAGAACATTCCTTAATGAATTTACTACTACATCTGCTCGTCAACATATTGCAACAATGTTGATAGGATTGTTTGGATTCTTTCATTTAAAGAAACGATTCCAGCTGATGAGATCTTTAGCCAGATCGAAACGCGTTGTGGTAGTTCCGACACGCTACTTTCGAGTATAGGATGATTCTACTTCGGCAAAACAGGACATTAATCTTGAATTGATTCTGATTGACTCAAATTAAAAATTTAAGCCACCTGGTGGTAGCTCCAACAAACCTATACACATACCCACACCCCACACGCATACCCATACTATATACATATCCACACTCACACTCTGACCTTGCATCAATACTCAAAGCCATTGCTGATCAAGTATGTCCAAAACTATCTTTTGATTGGATACGAAAGTGCGGTGCTATTGTGGAAAGCGCAACTTCAAATCAGAATTTTGAAAAGGAAGTGACAAACAATCAAGTACGTCGTATATTAAACGTATATTCTTTTATTTCTTTTCTCGTTGACTCATGTTGCATGTGCAACATCATTCTTTGACGTACGATGATTGTCATTGTTGAGTCGAAACATTGTCGACTCTTTTTGTGCAATATTGACGCAGGTAAAACTAAGTCAGCACGAAGTGATGATTGTTGTATTGCGTATGAGATTTCGCCGAAAGAATCAAACGAACTGCGTAGCCAATATGTTTTATCATTCGCTTATATAAAGACAGCTACATCAATCGAATATCTAAGCAAACACATTTTATAGTGAAAGCGATAGTTGTTATCATTGCTTCTCTCTTTCCACTGGTTGTAGCAACGACCGACATACTGAGAGACTCCAAAGAAGCACAGCCTCGGCTAATCATCGGTTTTGGCCAATTCATTTTGTACTACACAGGCAGAAATCCTCTTGCGTACAATAATTATGGGTGCTGGTAAGGTGTCTCCTTTCTCTCTATGCTTCGATTTATCAACTGATGAATAAACAGGTGTGGCAGTGGTAATCGCGGCACGAAAGTAATGGATGCTATTGATGCATGTTGCAAGACTCACGATGGGTGCTACAAGGGCTGGAATGAAGCGGCCTCTTATTATATCAGTGTCGATTATAATTGTATCAATTCTCAGTCATCTGATCAGTACAAGGCATGTATGTGCGATAAAACGGCGGCTCAATGCTTTGCTAGAAATACCTACAATCAAAATATGAAAGGACGATGTGGTTAGTCTGCAAAAGGTATTTTGAGTGAAATGATATTCTTGGACCACCAGTCTAGATGACGGTTCAAATTGATGAAAAGTCGAAATAAACTGAATGGAAACAAATATTCAAATAGTTTAAACAAAATATTGAGGATGGTCAGTGTGAGTGTGCGCCTAGGGTTAGCTCATCCCGATCCAGCGGCACTTTCATGATTTCATTGAGAAACGAGAGATTAGACAGAACTTTTTCTTGGAAATGCACCACAATGCAGGTGTGGGTATGGGCGTGTAACAGTTGCCATGATCTAAATTTCATCTCAGGAACGAGAATCATCAGATAGCATAGAAATTCTCTTTCATTTCAAAAAGTGACTAGAACATAAAAATTCGTTTTTGGTCATATTGATTGATTGAAAGAAATTTTTGTTTGACTCGCGTCGTATTATAACGGCTGTCGACGATGGTAGAGTTGAACTTACTTGCTCATGGGTTTCGATCCTTTTGTCGGATGGTTGAGGGATGTATATTGGTCTGTATGATTGGATGCTATGAATGTGCGATAGTAGTTTTGCTTCTATCTAGAATTAAATGTAAGCAATATATAGTTGAATTCTATATGAAATATTCGTGCAGATGTGTGCTTGTTTCAGTATATGAGGTAAATTTGTTTTGAAAGAAGAAAAGTCCTATGTGATCATTGGAAAAAGACAGTGAAACAGTGTATAATATTAATTATTAGATTATTTATAGTTTCAGAATTTTTCCATAGAGGTATGGAGTTTTCATATGATTTGTAGCTGGATGATCCTGTTCGTTGTTTTTGCTGAGTTGAAATGTGTGGTTTCGACGATGTTTTTGTTCGTCTTGACTTCTCTATTGAATGAGAAATAAATTGATATGAGTTACAAAAGGTAACTTGTGGTTCTGTTGATTTTCAAAATTACTTACTTGTTTTCCGTGTATTCTGTAATAACCCAGGTCAAAGACGTACGGCGAGAAACCGCCGAATCCGTGAAATTTCCAGCGAATTCCGGAGACGGGGATTTCTGAATCGGTTCTAGCTACCGGTTCTCGCTTAGTTCCCGCCAATCCCTACAGCTGAATACGATGTCAGAATTAGTGCCCGGCGTGACCGCCGTGACTTTTTTCAAAGATCGTGACCGTGGCTAGAGCTTGGTCACGGTCAATCACGTGAACTTTTTCGAAATTTTGCAAAATCCTGAGGGGTAGTAGGAGGACCTATTAGCACTGTGTATATAGTTTATTAAGAAGAAAAAAAAGATGTATAGGTTCAACAACAGCAACAATAAAAAGAAGAAGCTTGTATATATATGTTAGTAGAATCACGCCATCTCCTGAACGATAGTACATACAACGATGATCAAGCCATATGTAGAATAAAAGATTATTGAAAGATGATCACACCATATAAAAAGGCAGATCATAATGTGATTAAGACGGTGAGGTGATAACAGTGTCGTCGAGAGTTACCTCGATAACAGGACCTTCGCGAAGCTACCCCTCCCCCGGTCATATTTTTTTATGAAAAATTGGGAAGTTTCTAGTATTAATGATTGTGGAAATCTCTGAGGGGAAGTACGGGCACCTCCGTGAAGCTATCCTATCCTTTCCTCGACCATCAGTTTTAATAGTAAACAGAAACTTTGCAATAGTGTTTCTGGAAAGTTTTTTTTTATAACTCAAAATTCTTTAAGTTATGCAAAATTTTAGGTAGTTTTATGAATTTGTTGCCTTATGTATTTCTAGATATTCTTTGTTTTTGTAACCTCCCAATGCCAGATATTTTTAAAAAATAGAATCGATATAATTCTGAAAGGTTGTTTATCGACCATGTTAGTGAATTTTAATTTATTGCTGTTCAGATATAATAAAGAAAGAAATAATGAAATGATGTTCAATTCAAACACTGGAAGCGAAGTCTGTAGAAGATATCATGAACTAACTACGAACACGTTGGCATTCTAAAATGATTCTGCGCTAAGACACAAGAGAAGTATCATCAGCATCAAGCCTCTTTTTTCTCATCATCAAGTGAGCAACAAACTTGAAGATTAAGCAGTGAAAAATTGGTTGTAAAATAGGCTTCAGTATACACCAGAGAACGAAATGTTGTGACATATGTTCTAATTGGTCCGATGCTGCAGATAATATGAATCGAAAAATTGTCAAGTGTTTTAAGGCAAACTGTATTACAGTCAAAGATTGCAATGCTTAGAGAACTGTCTCACTAGCGCATAAACTGATTTAGTTTTATAAAATCTTCTGTACAGACTCTCCATTGCGTATTTTGACCAGATATAGATTCTTCTTCCAAGTGAACAATCAGAAGACAGTTGTTAAAGTGGAGGCGATCGCTCTTCACACGATCGCAAGTGCCAGGAATAAGGATGACTTCTTGCTCGTCTTAAATTGCTGAGTAAGCCGAAATATCTTTACCGTGCATCACCCTACTGCAAATACGCTGCTCCCTTCCGATTTCAATGACTTTTTTCCTACAGATACAATGTAGTACTATTATTAAAATACTATGTAATATCGATAGACAAAGAATCATTGAAATTGGAAGGTCGTCTGAGGAAATCCCTTTATAAGTAGATTGAAAAGTTGCTTTCAGTCAATCATGACCTTTTGAAACTAGATGAATACTTACGTAGTTAAACAAATTCTTGGGCGTAAGTTAAAAAGCTTGAGAACTTTCTATGCTTTTTTAACGCTTATTGAACTTTTTTAGTTAACCAGTATCTGCAGACTGTCGAGCTTCAATGGCGTTAATAATAATACTTGTCTGAGGTATTTCTCGATCCGAAAGTAACATTTAGTTCCTGTTGTCTTGATAAATATGGCAAATCATGCCAATAATTGTCATCAACTTAAAGTGAAATCAAAACAAAATTTTTAATATTAGTTGACTTACTCCAATAAAACTGTGATTGTAGACTAATATCGAAACTCAAAATGAGAGATATTTTCTGGTCTGGAAAGAAATGATCAGATATGTTGAAGCCTTGCTAGAACACAATTTATAAAGTACTTGATCTAATAAGTGAATGCGTGATTGGCAATTCTTTCTTGGCGCACCCACACCTTTATGTTTGTTTATATGATAAATATTTCAAGAAATGGATTATGTTTTCCGTAAAAGCAAGGAATATTTTTACTATTATCGCTTTAAGTGATCATAAATGCTAATGTCAATTGCCTTACATTTTTCTATTTTCATGATTTTATGTAGACGCATTCGTTAGTGACGTGACTTCGCAACATAAAAATACGTGTATCTCGGGGTAATGAACTTTCCTAGAGCTAATTTTGATGTGTTATATGTAATTTAATTTTCTCTAGACCTTTCTTCAGAGAAGTTATCAGTAGAAATCAAACACTAAAGAGCATCGACGCTCACTTCATGCATTTTAATTTAAAAAGCTTCGAATTGAACAAGTATTTTGAAAATCTAAGTAGTGCATTCTGTAGATAACTTGGTAACCTACGAAACCTTTATACCCTAGAAAAGAATCAAATTCAAATGAAAGATGACTATGTTCCGTTTTGCTTAAAATAGCTCATATATATTTATGCATGCAAATTGACTTTATAAGAGCATTTGTGCACTATTGTTTTTTGTCTGTTAGAGTCGGAATAGTTTATTCTTGATTCAGTATTTGAAGGAAATATAAAAAATGTTTTATTTAAATTTGGTCAAATAAGAAGAGATCTAATAAAATAATTTTAAGAAGAAAAAAACGATTTTATTTTGTGAAGTTTATTATGAAAAGCATTGACTTTTCAATGGAAAATTATATTGAAAACGTCCATTGGAATCAATTAAATAGACTCGATCAACTTCAAATTCATTGGTTGCAAATGTCCAACTTTGTGTAAAGCGATTTCCAACTTCAGTTAAATCTTTTTTATCCAATTCTCCTAATGTTAATGTTCCATCCAAATTATCATTATTATTTAAATTTAATCGTTTAATAGGTTCAATATCAGTTGGTTTAAGAAAAAGACGTGATATTGAATAATTAAAACAAATTGATCGTGCACCAAAATCAATTGTAAATTTTGGTATTGATCCAATTTTTAAACGTAAATCAGATTCATTCGGAATACCATCATATTCAGCAAGAATAATTTGAAATGGTTTATGTGGACGAAATGATGTATCTTCAAATAAAAATAAAAGACGAGAAGAAAATTCATTTGGTGGAATTACACATAAATAATTTTTTGCAGTCAAAGTTGGACAAATTTCTATTAACGAAGGTTTTTCAATAGAAACTAGTTGTTCATTATTATTATTATTATTTTCTTCTGAACCAACTAAAAGAACTTGATTTTTAATCGTAAATAAATCATCGGGATTATTTTCACGACTAATCATACAGACGCGATCAATAATAAATTTAATTGGTTTCCATTTCGCTTTCATTTCAATAAGCATATCTGATATTCTTGATGTTGTTGTTTGACCAAGTGTAAGATGAGCTTCGAATGGACGTATACTTTTTAAATAATTTGGTAAGAAATTTTCTATTATTTGTTGTAGTTCAACGACATCTTTATTTATTTTTGGTCGTATATGAAATGTACATTCATTACCTTTTTGTTTAAAATATTCAAATGATGTTTTATCAAATTCAATTTCAAATTGTTTTCTTTGATTAAGTATTGAGTCTAATTGAATTTTGATATTAGCAAATTCAGAGTCAGATACAAATGGATAAATTAAATTAATATGTGGCATCCAACGTGGATAAGCTTTATCATATTTTGATCGAATTGATTGAATTTGTTCCCAAACATTTTCAGGTGGAATTAAGCAAAGTGCTGTTTTATGTGTTATCGAATTAGACATAGTTTTGACGACGATAACTTTACTTTGCAGAAAGAGAAACGAATATAAATTATTGACATTAACTACATGGTAATTGCATCATTCACACACAATTACAAAACAATGTCAATTTCCATTGATATGATGAAATTAGTTTGTTTTTTTATTTTATTAGAACGAATCATATAAAAGAATGCTATGCAAACAATAATTTTCATTTATGTTAGAATGAAAAATATTGATCGAATAAAATAGATCATTCAAGTATTACATACTCTAGTGAATGTATTACCGAGGCGGAGAACTATCCTAAGTGACATCCATCACCCTACTTACAGATGAATTAAAAATCTATTGAACCAATATATTCGGAGTAAATTCAAAATGTCGAAGAGTTAATCAATAATGATAACTGATTATCCGACTCTTATTTTTGATTGAAATTCAATACGACTTCATTTTCTTTATCATCTTTTATTCTTATAAATGAATATTTTTCAAGTTTCTTGTTTAAACTCAATAGACAGTATTCAATTACTTGTTAATGGTTGATGTTTATTTTGAGGTTTTGCTCTAAGAATAAAGAACGAAAGAAAAAAAAAATTCCATCCTTTTAACTACTTCTTATTTCTATGAGAACAAAACCCATAAACGATACCAATAGTTTCTATCGATCTACATCGCTGCAGGATAGACACGAAACATACAATTTTGGTTGTTTTATTGGCATTGATAGTTGAACAAAAGAAACATTAAGGCATCAGCTTTTTTTTTTTCATTGATCATGACGAGTTCCACAACAAGTATAGACTTTCCTTTACGTGAACCTCGAAATGTTCAAGAACTTGCTGATTTAGTAAAATTTTACTTCTTTTCTTATGTAACAATATTTATTTTTTTTTAACGTTAGATTCAAGATACAATGATGCAAATTCAAGAAAAATTCGGACAAATGAGTGATTCAATTATGAAAAGAAGTATAATTAATATATTTTTATCAATCTTTTTTTTTTAACGAAATCCAATCGTTTTTTTTTTCTTAGTTGATGATATGGGTCAACAAATTGATGGTCTCGAAAGTAATATAGCACATATCATCTCATTAACAAGTGCTGAATCATCATAAATTTCTTTTTATTGCCTCACTTCTATTCATATCATTTAGTTTTAACTATTCAGAAACAAATATATTTTATTCCATGGAATGATTGACAAGATCTGTTTTTTTTTCTTTTGCTATTTTTGTTTTTGAAAGATGATCTCACATACCACATAAAAGTAAAAGAAAATATTGAAAGACAAAATTTTATTTTTTTTTTATTAAAATGAGAAAAAAAATATTTTTCATGGCCAATAGAGACTCAGATAAGCTTCTTTACGTTGAAGTTTTTTCATAATTCGATCGTCGACAAGCTAAAATTAAAACAAAAAATTGACAATAGAATACAAAGAAAAATCGATTATTTGATACTTGAATTCGAGCAGCAGTACCGGAATGTTCATGTATATGCGAACAATCACGAACTTTTTGAAAAGCTTGAAGATATCTATATAAAATAAAATTTTATTACAAATTTATCATTGAATATTACAATAAATATTTATTTGTAGCCTATTTCTTAATATTTCGATCATTCATAATACTAAAAAAAAAACACAATGTTATTAGGATACTTTCTTTTGAGAACAAAATGAAATGTTGGGTAACTTGAATACATTAGGGTATTTTCATATACTTCTCATAATAAAATGAATTTTAGTTATACATCATCGACTATTCATTACATAACGATGTATAGTCGTAATCAGATAAATATTATGATATGACTTGGGAATTTGGGATAAGATTATTTTTTAATAATTAATTTTTCTAATTTAACTTACGTTCTTTTAAATTTTTCTTGCCATTGCCAATTAAAATTAAAACATTCAGAACATAATATTTCATTTCGATATTGATAATAATCTCCAACAGGTTGTTTAAGACAAATTACACACTAAAATAATTAAATTAAAATCTATTTAAATCTTTTAATTAAATTTCAAACCTTATCTCTATTCAATGGCATACATTTAGTTTTAATAGCTGGTATCAATTTAGTTCGACCACCAAAACTATGAAGCATATGTACTTGACGATTCTGTTTAACATCACATTCATAACTACCAGGTCTTAATTAATATAAAAGAAATATTTTAAGAGAAAAAAAAAACGAAATCATTGATTAAATTAACTACCCCGGAACATCAGTACTTTTAGCAACTATTGGAAATCTATCACAAGAAGCATTAAATGGTCTAAATGCTCTTTTCTTTTCTGGTATTATATTTAAATCCATTTGATAAGTATCTGGACTTGGTACGTCAGTCTATTTCAATAGACAAAATAAAATATAAACTATCTTTCTTTGTTAAAAATTTGCAAAAAACAAACAACAAATCAAGCAACTCTTTTATCTTAGATCACCTTTGGTAGAAAAACTTCTCGTTTTTCCGTACGCGCATTGACTGTATAACCACGACGACTCATCGGTTGATGTTCAAGTACATATCGAAATGATGTCTTTTCCTCATTATTATATGAACTTGGTCCACTATATATTAAAACAAAAAAAGCAAAAGAAGAGCATAATATAAAAGCAAGTAATTAGTTAGCCAGAAGAAAAATAAAAGTAAAACATAATTTACAGATTTGGTACGCCTCGTAATGGCGTATAGCTATTTGCAAAATAATCATGCGCTATATCGCTAGGATATGTAGGACGATTGAGAAATGTTGTGCCAAAAGCAACATTCGATCGAACAGGTTCTTCGCCTGAGCAGAGCAAGTAAAGCAAATCATGCAAAGAATAATAAATCAAAATAGCCAAAGAATATAATAGCAAAAAAAGTCTTACCAAACAACATGTTGTGTTATTGATGATTGAAATATAAGACTTCAGTTAACGCTCGTTGATCAAAATAATTTAAAACTCGTTACCCTGACAGCAATTAATAATAGAATTATAGATGTCGTTAAAAAAGAATTCATCATGTCTAATGATATTAAAATAAAGTGTTTTCATTATGAAAAATATCATTACAAAAATAATTTAATTTAACTTTTAATAATAAGCCATGATTGATAAAGTCTCTTGCATAGAAAGCGTCTTCAAAATGGCATTTATTGTTTAAGTTGTCTTTTAGTCAATTTCGTTTGATAAATATAAACATTACAAGTGTTTGTTTTCTGTTTTATTCCACTTGAGAAATCATATCGCCTGAACAAAAATCTTATATAGGGAATACCTCCCTTAAATAATCTTTATTTGAATAACTATAAATTCAACATATTTTCAATCGAATACAAAACTTTTCTTGGCTTCATAGAGTTCTGTGTATAATTGTTCTTGTCTCGGTATATGCGAATTTGATGAATGTTGCTGTACAAATCATCCAAATGTATATTCATCATATTTTATTACCTCTAAACTTTTGAATTTTCGTTTAATTCTTTGATTTTGCTTTGTTTGATAATCATTTAAATATTATTTTTAAGCGTGCTACAACATTGAACACAGGATCAAGTTAAATATTTGATTTTTTTCACTAATTCATGTTGTGGTGTCATTGCTTTACTTGATATGCACCATTATAACCAGGGCTGTCGCCACCGGGAACGAGGCCGACGGGGTGATCACTCCCCCCCAATATTCGAAAAATTGTCTTGCGCTGTATTTCAGAAAACAAAACTTATACTACTCTAAGGGTACACCCTCCGCACCCGCCCCGCCGCCCGCCCCCGCCCGCCGTCCTCGGACCCCCC